ATGACCGTCTGAACCCTCTAAGCAGTTTCTGGGCGGTTTTCTTGCTCATGTTACGTTTTCACTCACTGTGGGTTCATTTTTCACTGCAACATAAAGTCCTGCACCTTTATGGAAACAGATCAACCACGTCTAGAAGCAGAGAGAACTCAGGAATGTCTTTTGTGTTGCATGATGCAGTTAGAATGCCATAAATAAATGAAACAGCATTTTCCTGAGTGCCCACAGGTGTTACCAATACTGGAGAGAGAGAAAAAAAGATGGTGATTGTACATACTAGAGATATTTTATCACTACACAGCCTGAAGTTCAGTCTGGTTCGACTGGAAATCCCTAAATTTTTGTTGCGTGACTGTTAGTCGCAGCTGAGTCACTTATGACTTGGCAGTTGCAGCAAGGAGTGCAGAATTTTTTGTTTTTTATAGAATCTGATTCGAGCATATGCTTTATTTTTTAGCTTTTTTTTTTACATGAGACATGTAGAAAACATGCATTTTGAAAAAAAGTCAAGTTTTGAACACCATGTCACAGATGACTAGTTCTGAATGTAGTAATTTTGGCAGTTTTCTTTAAAGACTGCATGACTTTTAAACCTGCTGATGTTTGTGTGCTAACATTTACCATCTTCAGATAAGGGCTAATCATACAGTCCTCAGGAAATCAGTTTACCAGGTATAGATCATCTCTTAGTGTGCTTAAACCTCCAGCCGAGGTTGGAATAACTTTAACATTTACAGAAACAATATCGGATCTAAAAATCAGCCCGGCGCACTGAGAGGTTTGCGTTTCCAGGAAGTTAACAGTACGGCTCCATGTGAAGTAAAGCCCCCTTTATCGAGCTGATGCGAGGCCTGTAAAGACAGCCCGGGTTTGCACTACCGTTATATTGGACTCTGCTTCTGGGCTTTGTTGGAAGTTTACTTGATTGGCAGGCAGCCCCCTTTTGGCTTGTTCTCTTTTACGGCCCGTTTTATGAAATAACCGAGCCACGCGGCGCTGCAACAGCACTTGTGCAATATTTCCGAGAGGGAAGCGAAAAGGGAAGCGGCTTCGGTGGCATGTGGCACCTGATCACCACCCCATCCCCACCTCCCAACACACATGCATACGCTAACTCAACACGGGTTGTGCAACTCGTATTATGTCAGCTCCGGGCTGAATCTGTGGCAAAGTGACTCAGGACTCCCCACCAGCAGAGCAGACTGGGCAAGTCTATCATTTGGAGATTCCTTTTTTTTATTTTTATTATTATTCCCTTCTCTTTGATCTTTTGGATTCCTTGATGGTTAATTCTAATTTATTTCACATTATCTTTTGAGTCCTCATTTATTGAGATGCTTCCCGGGGAGCAGCGCTGGGGTGCCATCATTTTTGTTTGCTTTGTTAAGGTGAAAATCTCGTTCAATGAAATTAAAGATCAGGATCATTTTGATGTTAGAATAATCTACCTTTTTAGACTCTGCAGTGGGGATCCGACTGGGCCCCTGTTCAGAGTGTAGTTTTTTGTTCGCACAGTGAGAGTAACAGTGTGCGCCTCCTCTATCACGGTTCGCCTTGTCTCTCCTAACTAACAAGTTCACCCTCTCGTGATCAAAGGGGCCTCAAGATTTATCGCTTTAATTTGGCACTGAAAATGGCTGATGGAGGCTGTTACCAAGCGGAGGGCCCCCTGTTAGCACTTAGCTGGCTAACTAGAGTGACGGGCATCTGGCTGGGTGGCTGCCTGGCGGTGTGTACCCTGGATTCTTGTGCTCCCACTTTTTTCCTCTCCCCCCACTTTGCCCCACGGTGACCTCGCACAACTCCATTCTCCTTGAAGCAAGGCACCATGCAGGCATTTCCTGACAATTTATGTCCTTGTGCCACAAGCAGGGGCATGCCCTGCACTAAAATCCTATCCCTGGCCCATTTAGCACACGCCTCTTGGCCTCCCAGAAGACTGGTTATAGTGTTGCACCACTGTCTGTGAGGCGGAGTTAGTACTTGTAGCCGCCATGCAAGTGTTAAGCTGACTGCCCTATTGTAGTTTTTATTGACTGCAGGCTGAGATGAAGCTCAAATTTCAAATACACTACAAATCACCTGTATTTTAAAGTAGGCCTGTAGTTTTTTTTCCAGACAGCCACCAGGGGCTGTTTGTTTTGTTTTTTTAACCCCTGTAGATTTATCTGAAACGCACACTTTCCCACCTGGAAGCTGCACACTGATGGTAATGAATACGGAGAAAAGTGGAAATTGTATATACTCTGCGATTGATTGCTCATTTTCAGCTCATTGCAAATTGATTTTCATAGATTAGGGAAGTTAATTTAGCTCATTAGCCACCTGGAATGTAAGAAAAACCTCCACTGTAAAGACTTCAAACATGCAAAAATGCATATTTACTTTGGTGTATCAGTGGCACGTGACGGAACTGGAGTTGCACTTGTGTGGTCATAAAACTGTCCCAGTTGGTCACTGCAAGGGCGATCAATGAGCCCGGATCGATAGATGGAAGGAGTCCAGTGAAGGTTAGCGGCGCAACCTCGCAGCACGTAAAAAATAATAATTACAGAAGCAACAACGAATGAATCAGAAGTTAAAGAAGCAACAAGAGGTTTTATGTGATTAATGCAAATGAGGGACATCCGTGGGGGTGTCGGGGGGGGTGGGATTCTGTCTACATCTCCACTACATGTCTTGTTCTCCAAAGGTTAAGTGGCTGCTTTTGCCAGCTAATTCGGCCATATGCTCATCTGTGCATTTGACACCGCCGCGCCATACGCTCGCACTGCAAATTATGCCTCTTGAATATGCAGCCAATTAAAAAGGACATCGCTCAGCAGCTCGGGTCTGTTTAGTCTAAAGTTGTTAAAATGGAAATATATCTTGTGACATCGCAGACGAATCCAGGATGTGCTCGCTTTATAGGTCGCATTACAGTGGCTTATGATCTAGTCACGCTCACTTGTGCAGCATACCATCTTTTGCATAACTTGTTGCATAAGCACTCTACTGGCAGGCACACTCTGTCATGTACGGTCCGTGTCATTTCTGCTTTTGGTAGGGCTTATTACAGTACAGGCCGTTCCCTAATGTCACTGTGGTTGCAAAACCACACAAGCCATCTCTCCCTGACTTTTTTTTTTTTTTTTCTGTCATCTAAGAATTGGCTTCCTGTTTTCATTGTGTTCTCTTTCTCTCTCTGGAGGTGTCGTAACCCAGGAGGCCGTGCCAAGAACAAACCAAGGTCTAGTCGGGAGAGATCGCTCTGTGCTTGCATTGGAAACAGACACACACACACACCCACACACACACACATGCACGCCCATTTTGCACACACACACACAGTATCCAGATGTTAAACAATGTGTGTGTGTCTGTCTGTTTGATGTGTGATGTGTATGGCATGTACAGTGCTCGCTGCCAAGTCATAAAAAGTCGTTTGCCTGAGCCTGAGCCGATGTGCCCTTCAACAGCAACCCGTGTGTGTGTCTCTGTGTGTGTGTGTGTATATGCCAGCCTCCTGCCTCTCTCTTTTTTTTTATTGTCGTACAAGGTTGTACACATTCGTAAAGTATAGGCGAACACGGCAACCCCCGGCCATAGCTCAGGGGCTGCATACTTGATCTACTTGCATAAACAGGAGCAAAGTGTGGTGCAACTAAACGTGGAGGAGTGTGAACTTTGGTGTATTAAGCTGCATTACCTGTATCTATTTTGCTGTGTATTTTAAAGGGAGTTATAAATATCTCAAAGTCGCTCGAATAACACTTTGCAGACTTGCTGGAAGAATAAAAAGCTTGTGAACTCTTAATGGTGTATCATGCGGACTGTCACAAATAATGGACTCTGTTATTACTGTTAGAGGTTTTTTTTTATTTTTCTCCTTTCTTGCCAAATTAGCCTACATCAATCATGTATGGGGAAGGAGATGGCACCTTCTGCCACTATTTGCATATTCATTAAATTTGGAGCTGAATCTGACCGGTCTGAAGGCGGATAGATTGACTCATCAAATTATAGAGCTAAATGTACTGTTGGCGAAATTATATAGTACAATGCGCCCATTAATCAATCATATATTGAAATAATATTAATCTAAATTTGCTCCCAGAAAAAAAAACATAGAGAGAGGTTCAAATAATGAAAGTCTGAGCTTCATGTTATGCTATCCAACTGCAAAACATCATAATTTCCACGTTGTCGATACATGTTTTGACATTAAGACTCTCTAGTTATAAGCTGCAAGTGAGGGAATATTTCTCAGCAATTTGTTTGTTATCATAAAAGTTGTGCATGCAAGAAATACTGTAAAAATGAAGCATAATGGAAATGAACAACATCAGAGGGGAAAGTGCATTTAGCAAACTTAAAGGAAAGTCTATATCATGATTTTAGAGCCCTGTCCATACTATGTCTTTCAAGCCAATAGCGATTATTGATTTTTAACAGTCTAGCATCTTTAAGCAGACTAAAACATGTATTTTTTTTTTAATGAACTATGACTGAGATATGTCCTGAGCAGGACATTTTGTAGTTGAAAAGTAAACTTGTCAGTGCTCTCTGGTGGACAGATGATGGCTTTTGCTTTTCTGCATTGACATCGTCTGTTGCTCATCAGCTAATATATTCAATATATCTGCAACAAGCTCATGTAAATATACATTAGTGGTGTTAAATATGTCCCTAAATCCTAAAACCTCATTAACTATTTGTCCTTACAAGATTAATTCAAAGCCAGAAATGTTGGAATGTGGGTGTCCTGCCAAAACAATGACGTCTTCATTTCAGCTTCATATAAGCATTTAAGAGAAAATAATAATAATAATACGTCTAAGAGTGCGGTATGGTTTAGTGTTGACAGTGTTGAGTAAGTTTTATTTCCTAAACGGTATTCGATTTGTCTCACTTTGGCTTTCAGACGCCTCTTTCCTCACAAGGCTCGACCGTTTCATACTGCTTTCGTCAAATGTGGAACATGTGTGTAAACGGCATCTGCTCTCTTGTTTCTTGTTGTCCAGCTGGTGAGAAGGCCATAGTTTGTGACCAGTGTGGCGCCCAGTTCCAGACAGAAGAATCCCTGGAGGCTCACCGACAGATCCACACCGGTATGAACGCACACACACTCACACACACACACACAGTGAGACATGGCAGACATAAAGATCACGAGCTCCTCTGCCGCGTCAACATGTTTGTATCGGTTGTGCAGAAATGGGATAAGCTGCCGATGCTGCGTTTAAAACAATAAGCTCGTTTTTGGCGAGTCGGATTATTTTAAAAATAGCCAGGCGAGCGTCAAAATAGCCAAAAACATGAATCTGCACAGGGTCAAATTTTAGCTGAACACATTTCACGTCCCTCCTAATTCACACCACCAATCTGTTTTATTGTGTGTGTGTGTTTTGTTTTTTTCCTTCACAAATTGGCATGCATGCATTGCGGCGCAGTGTGTGTTGTGGTGGTTGTGTAGAGGCTCTGGCTAACTGGAGCCATGGATTGACAGATAGATAGATCACATCATCTTGGATTAGTCCCACTTGCCCTAAATCAAGACAGACCCAACAGTAATCAACAAACCGGGGAAACTTGGCAGGCCAACGTTGTTTATCAGTGTTCAGCTATGAAGATGGGAAGACGAGGATGATCTAGGTGCCAAGATGTAAATAGGAAGAAGTAAATCCCCCTTCAGCAGATGTGAGATGGCCCAGAACAGTTTTACTGCTGGTGATGAACTCTTTAATTCGGGGGAATGGATTGTCTCAAATTACCTCCACTTTGTTATGGAGATGCTTTGGGCATGTTGCAGAGGATTCGGCGTGCACCATGTTTGCATGAGCTAGCTTTTTTTATTTCAGTCTCTCTTCTCTGTCCAGATTTTTCCACTCTGTCCGACATCAACATCAGTCCACGTCGACAGAAATTACACCCCGTCTTGACCCGATGCTGCTGTCGATTGGACGGTTGATAGAAAATATTGTCTCATCATGTTAAACTCAGTTTGCAGCTGGAAAAAAATCAAACAAGATGCTTGAGTTGGAGTCAAGTCTGGCAGAGTGTACTTTATGAATTTTCTCTATGAAGCAGGGAGTTTTTTTTATTATGCAAACAGCCAAATTACAGCAAAAACACCCATATTAGTGTACGGTGCAGACTTAGTTTTGCATGAGTATAGAATATAATACAAGATAAACCTCTCAGGGGTCATAAGATTGCACAATGCTAAAGTTTTTTGTTTATTTTTGCTATTTTTACACCAGTAGCGAGGGCGAAATGTAGCATGAAGATGTCAAAGAAACAACAAATTCAAAGTGGTTGATTTGCCGCCATTAGTTTGTGGTATTTTGCATGCTGAGCTGATATTTTCTGCCAATTGGAAGAGAGCTCAGCGTCTAAAATAGAAAAGGTTCATCCTCAGGGGTCCCTGAATGTGCTCGGCAGGTTTTATGGCAATCTGCTCGGGCAGATTTTGACATTTCTCGTTCGGCGTGTCGGCACTTTGGCCCGATCGGGTGCGTCGGAGGAGAGGCGAGGGGGGGATCGCGAGCTAGCCGATCGGCGTCGCCATCCCTCAGCTTCGCTCGAGCATGTCAAACAAAATGAGATGAGAGACGAGAGCGCTGCCAGAGCACATTCGGGCCAGAAACAGATCTCCAAAATAGCCACACATTATCATTATCATCATCTTGTGTTTTGTCCTTCATCTGAAGCCATGACCCTCCGGCTCCCAGTAGCAGCTCCCATAAGAGCGCCTCACACACACACACACACACACACACACACACTCCTCAGCGTTTGATAGGGGAAGGTGGGGCGGTGTAGTTAGGCCTCGTGTTGGGGGGGCTACTCCTGAGGGGCATGCCCTCAGCCAATCAGCTCGCTGGAGGTAAAGAAGGGTTAAACGAGGCTAATGATTCAACAGCCATAACAGCGGAAAGGAGCACTCTAAATATAGGCATTCCAGTCTGGAACGAATGGAAGGGGTTGCGGGGGGGCAGCGGCTGCTCGGGCCAGACGTGTCTTCCTGCCAGACAACTGGAGCAGCAGCAGCAGCAGCAGCAGCAGTAATAGTAAAGTAATCATCCATGTGTTGAGCCGCTGCGAGGGGTCAGAGTTTGAAAAATGTGTTCTGGTAAAATATGATGAGCCAGTTCAGCTGCACCGTCTGATTCTCGGTTTCACTTTTCTTCGTGATCTCATAGCTGCTGTACGCTTCTATTATCGCGCCCGTTGCTCTGGACTCGAACACTTGACTCTTGACATCGCCGATCCGAAGGCCGAGCCCTGTTAATTTTAAATGGACCCTCTTGTTCCCGTCGCTGCTTTCGCTCAAAGGCGGCGTAAATTGCAGCAACGTTTTTTTTTTTTTCTTTCCCTTGAATCCGTAAATTGAAGAAATGAAGCTAAAATTCAATTTGATTTAGTTCTTTTTGTTTTGATTTTCGCTCTTGAACGGGTTAATTCCAGGTCAGAGGGGTTGCTATCAGCAGGCTGCGTGCACACACCGGTGTGTTTCTGAGTGTGCGTGATATTACATATGGTGACATTCAAAGGTTAAGTATTATTCAGAGAGTCGACAGCGTTTAGCCAGTCGGTGTGTTTTCAGCACCGAGCGACTGATGAGACGAGTGAGAGACGTAAACAGTCGAGTCTCTCACTTCAACTTTGCGGAGACTTGACGGGAGTTTTTCTTCTGACTACGATTATACTATCTACGATGACATTTTGTAGGATTTAGTGCCGCCTAAATGGAATAAAACAGAATAACTCGGTTAAGTTTGATTGAATCGGAGTGGAATTAGCTGAATTTCATCACTGTCTGCTGTATTATCCAATGAGAGACACTTGGAAAAACACAACTAATCAGTTTTATTATCGAGTATGAAGCAGATGTAATGTGCAGTCGCATGCCACACGATGCCTCTTGCGCATCCATAGGAAAACACACATATAGGATGAGATTAAACTAGTTCGACTGCAGCGACCTTGTGGACTTTTGTCTGCCTCAGTCCCTTTCCGCGCTGGCTAAGCCACATTATGAAGCCCTTGAGCTCGAAGAGTAGCTAGCTTGTGTCGTGGCGTGTGAACAATATGTCATCCTCTGTTAGCGAGACTGCTGGTTTTTGTTATTGTTGTTTTTTTTTTATGTGCCAGTAAAGTATATAAAAGAAAGGAATGTGCATCAAATACAAACGCAGCAAAATTGGACAGCGCTGTGTTTAATCAGTGTGAGCTAGAAAACAAATATGTGTTTATTTATACAGCAATTGTGTGTACAGTAACCAAGACTGAAAATATCAGAGAGGGCGTGTGGTGGAAGCAGGGGGTTACTGTTGGGCATCAAAGCCAGATTTGATCTCTGCCTGCCTCTTGGCAGCGCTTCAGCCCTTGGCTAATGTTCTCTGATGACAATATTTGGCCTCTGAAACTGTGGCTGTTTCTTGCTGCTTTGAATGGGAACTATTGTGGCGTCTCCTCCGTTGGCCTGATCAGCTGCCGTCTGACTCAACCTCTTGTCTCTTTCTCACTCTGTCTGCCTTCTCTGGGTGTTTAGCATGCACACCTCTCCACGTTGCCCGACAGAACGCGGTGCATATAGCGAGCGTTTGTCCGTGAACTATGGGGCGGTTTTCGGAGGCGGTCGAGGCGTTCCTGGACTCGTTCGTAACCGACAAGCTCCTTCTCGCGTGGGGGTGTTTGGCGAGGGCTCGGCGAGGATGCCAGGGGAACGAGCGGCGAAAAAAACATCATGTGGCCTGTTTTTACCCGCCGAACTCGTGCAAACACACATGCACAAACACGCACTGCAAACTGTCGCCTGCGCTGGCAGCGCCGCGCGACACAAACGCACACAAATAAATCCAGGAATGCCTGTGTTCAGGAGCCGAAGTCACTTGTGAGTTGCATTATATCTACTGCCGGCTAATTTCTGTCACATATTTTCCCAAATTGGATGGCATCGGATCAGAGTCTGTCTCTCTCCCTCGCTCTAAACTGGGACTCGCCTCGGGGCTTTTGTAAGCAAAGAACACAGTCTGTCTGGCTTTTATGGAGCTCTCATCCTTAAAGAAAAACACTGCTGTCATTTAGAGTTGTAGCACATTTACTACTGTCTCTGCCTCATGTCCTCCAACTCTTATGCAATGTATGCACAGATACAAATCTCTCTTTTTTTTTCCCCTCCTTTTTAAAGCCCTTAGGCTCGCACTGTTAGCAGCCTTCCCGAGCAAACACTAGGTATATTCTAGGGCGACATTCTTATTTTATGGTGGCAGGTTCCATTTTATCATGTGCTTGTCAGGTGACTGACACTAATGTAATGTGCATACTGATACGAAACAACCACAGAGGGGTTTTTTCTTTATTTAGAATTCTCTTTCCAGCCGAGCATGAACTGCAGCCATAGAATAAAGACGAAAATATTTGTGTGAGTAAAGCAATAAATCCATCTATTTGTAGATAACAGTACAGTTCAAATGCAAGCAGTAAAACTATCTGCGATATCCGCGGTAGCTGATACAGCAGATACAGCCCAGTGGACCTGATGCAGAGCTGACATAGTGGTTGTTATGGTCCTGGATGTTATCGCATTCAGGCTTTTTTAGCTGCTTCTGACCAAGATAAACACGAGACAAGAAGATTTCCTCACACAAAGTGAGTTTGCAGTTTCACATTTCTTCCAGTAACGCAACTTGTTGTGCAAAAGTCCTGGAGCGGAGCTAATACAAGCAGAGACGGGGACAGCCTACCTCTGCTCAGAAATGTTAAAAAGATAAATTAAAGCACTTTATTCGGATTGTAATGTGATTTTGCGTGCTGTAATGTGAGTCTGCAGCTCAAACACAGACTCTTTTATTAGAGCATCGATTCAGCTTTGTTCCTTGCAGAGAGTTTTTGCACAAAATTAGGACTGTGCAACGTTCAGAATATTATAATATATACTGCAAATATAAGTAATATGTAAGAACTTTAACTGGATAATGGGATTTGGAAAGACATACTCTTTGGAGAATGATTTTGTGGGAGAGTCTATCTGTGCAGAATATAAAAAGTAATTTGAAGAAGCTGACTTTTAACTTAGACTTTTATTAAGTGCAAAATGTTTGGA